TATCGTCATTCGGCGACCGGCTTCCACGTGACGCGAAAGTTTTTCCGGCCGCCGGAGGGTGTTGAACCGGGGACCTTCGGGACCGGGGTCGGCGACGTTGACCACTGGACCATCGAAACCGGGGCACGCGGTGGCGGCGTTTGCAGGCGGTGCACCTGTCTGCAGCTGGCTCTGCGGGATTTCAGCGAGCGAGTCATATTTCACTTGACTGCAGGAATCCAGAGGGACGGGTTGGGCAATGCCACCACGTGGCTCGCGCACGCGTCGGGGTAGATAGATAGATGGATGGATAAGATGGAATGCCGCGGCGTGTGATCTGCATGGCCAGTGTGTGCTATGCTAACGCCGAGCTAACGCCGCCATTGCCGCCATCGGCACGCGGTTGCGCAGAGGCGAACGAGTGTAATATCGGGCTGAGATTCGGATCTCCTGGTTCGGACGGCTCCCTCGACGGCTCCCCGTACTTGGCGCTGCAGCGGCTGCAGCCCCGCCGCGGCGCGCCGGCCCCATACCGGGCCGATGGCTTGTAATTACCCCGGCTCGTCCGTATAAGGGTTCGGCTGCGCCTGCCGCGGCCTGCCGGACGCAAAGACCGCCGCGGTCTCGGCCGGCCACGCACAGTGGGCCAGAAGTCCAGCGCAGGCGGACAAAATCCTAGACGCGTTTTGGGCTCCAGAGTCGCTAAATGGGACTCGAACCGAATGTGACCCCACCAATGGATTGCTCCCCGAACGAGGGGGGTCACACGTTCGGTTCGAGTCCTGTTTAGCGACTCTGGAGCTCGAAACGCGTCTAGAGTTTTGGCCGCCTCCACCGGTCTTTTGGCCCACTGTGCCGCGGCCTCCAGGGCCGCCCAGGGCGCCCAGGGACCCCAAAGAGCGACAAGGACTGTCGCCTTGACGGCGGCCCCGCGGCCAGAGAGAGAAAGCACATCCACGAGACAGACTTGTAAATTCACCAAGTCCTTTTCCACGTGATGTCCGACCTGCGTGTGGAATGTGGCTAGCGTCGGTCCCCTCCGATTTGAGTGTAGGTGCTCTGCCGGCACACTGCTAGCGGTACCGCCTCGGACGTGCCGCTGCATGCGGCGGGGTCATTCCCTAACCCCGAGAGGCGCGGCGTAGCTACGCGCAGGCCGTCGGCGTCCTGGTCGGTCGCGGCGCGCGTCGACTGCCCGGGACGGCCCGGTGCGCCGGCTCTCGTAAACCCCGGCCCGGCTCGGCTCGGCTTTTTGTCGGCTCGACTCGGCTCACTATTAGCCGCGCGAGCCAGAGGAGCCAGAGGCGCGCCAAAGGCGGACTGCGAGACGACGTTGATTTGACCCGGGCGACCCGACCCAACCCGCGCCGCGCGGCACTGTATATTGTACCTCGTTGCAGCCGGCCGGTGTTTTCTATACGCGCGCCGTCGGTCCATAGTGGGGAAAATAAAAAGAAGGTTCGCGCGCGGGTATTTGAACCCGCGGCCTCGCGGCCCGTTTACGGCTCCGTTGGCTTTTCACTCCGCCCGGCATCGCCTGGCCGTTTAGCATGGCGAATGGCGCTTCACGGCTGCTTAGCCCTTTGGGCCGTTCGGCCGCGGTCGTCACTTTGGGATGATCGCTGTCCTCCCGGCCCTCCCGGCCCTTCCGGCCCCCTGACCTCGAAAGCCGGACTGCCGCACAGTGGGCCAGAAGACCGGTGCAGGCGGACAGAACTCTAGACGCGTTTTGAGCTCCAGAGTCGCTAAACAGGCCTCGAACCGAACGTCTGACCCCACAAATTGATTGCTCTCCGAATGAGGAATCCATTGGTGGGGTCACACGCTCGCTTCGAGTCCTGTCTAGCGACTCTGGAGCTCAAAACGCGTCTAGAATTTTGTCCGCCTGCACCGGCCTTCTGGCCCACTGTGTGCCTGCCTGACTGCCCTTTTTCCCGCCGGAATTTCGCGGCCACTGTAGGTCAAGCGGGACAGACGGGCAGGCAGGCAGATTGCTGTGACAACCGCGTTGGAGACGCCCACCTCGCCCACCGCACCGCCCCCGTCCATTCTAATGACTGGCTCGGACTTGGAGACGTGCGGCGTGGCGTGGCGTGGCTGCGTGTCTCGTCGTGCCCGTCACGCGCGCGCCGCGGTGTACTACACTGCGAGCACGCCGACGACGTCGTCGCCGTGTCGCCGCCGTCCGAGCCGAGCCCCCACGCCCCCGGAATACCAATTCGACTCGGGGATTCTTCTCTGTGCCGCCCTGCAGTCCGGCCCTGCAGTGTACCTGCTTGGCGTCCATGCATATGCCGGCGGCGTATATCGGGGCGACGACAGGGCGATAGGGCTACCGGTTTAGTGGCGTGCGTGTGCGTGCGTGTGTGTGTGTGTGTGTGTGTGTGTGTGTGTGTCGCGTCAACTCGAAGCCGACACGAGTCGTTGTGTCCAGCCTTTGCTTTGTGCCGCCCGCTGCACTCAGTGGAGCGCCCGCGGACGGCGGGGTAGGCCGCCCCGTTGCACAGCGGTGCCGCCGCGTTGCCTCCCCAGCCGGGCGCTCTGGATCGCGCGCTGCGCTGCACAGTGGGCCAGAAGACCGGTCACGTCATCGTCATCGGCGCTGTTAGGCCTCAGCAGACCTCTAGCGTTCGGTGGAGGCGGCCAAAACTCTAGACGCGTTTTGAGCTCCAGAGTCGCTAAACGGGACTCGAACCGAACGTGTGACCCCACCAATGGATTGCTCTCCGAATGAGGAATCCATCGGTGGGGTCACACGTTCGGTTCGAGTCCCGTTTAGCGACTCTGGAGCTCAAAACGCGTCTAGGGTTTTGGCCGCCTCCGCCGGCCTTCTGGCCCACTGTGCGCTGCCCTTTTAGTTGCTGTTGTTGTTGCTGGCCGTGAGTCAGCATCCCCGTCGGCCCCAGCGCGCCCAGCGCAGTCGGACGGTACGGTACGCTGTCCATCACATTGCATCACGAGCTCTCCAGGAAGTTATCCCCCTCTTTCTCTTTCTCCTCTATATCTCGTTCGCGCGCTCTGTCTTTTCTCGAAGCGCGCGCGGGACGGCGGCGCTTCCCTTATAATACCATCTCGCTCATTTCCGGAATGAATTTGCGGAATACGAAGAGGCGCCTGGGCGCGAAAACGCCCACTTCTTGATGCCCCGCCTGTCTGTCTGCCTGTCTGTCTCGTGTCTGTCCGCCTGTCTGTCTGCCTGTCTGTGTCTGCCTGTCCGTCCGCCCAGTGGCGGTGCATTGCCCGTAGGCCACACACACACACACACACACACACACACACGCCCACCGTTGTCATTTGTATGCCGGCGGCCTGGCGGCCACGGTGCTGCTCCTAGAGAGAGGGGCCTTTCTTCTCCTTGATGGAGACCACCGGCACGGCGGCCACACAGCCACCCACTCCGCCACCACGCCCTGCAGCTACTATTGGGGCATTGTCGCCTCGGAGAGAGAGAGAGAGAGAGAGAGAGAGAGAGAGAGAGAGAGAGAGAGAGACTCTGGGATGTCTGTAAGAAATGTGTTTACATTTTTCGTGCCGCTTGAAGCGCTTTAGTACAGACAGCAGACGGATGTATAGACAGACAGACAGACAGGCGTGAAGTGCGCGTGCCGGGTGCGATTGCGCGGATGAAATGGCGAGGAATGCCGCTTTTGCCACCGGCTGCAGTCGCCGCAGTCGCTGCACGGGAGCGGCCAAAACAATAAATACCGTCCGATGAGGAGGGAAATAAAAAGTTTTGGCCGGCGGCTCGCCTCTCCCGGGGTGCGATCGTGGAACCGGTTGAGTGAAAGCCTCACTGCACGCAGGCAGGGCAGGCAGCCCAGGCAGGCCGTATGTGACGGTGTGGGAAATGTGCTGCACCTCTCCCACAGCGGACCGGCCCGCGGCGCAGAGTGGCGCAACTCGCGACAGAAGCGGGTATCTGCGCGCGCCGCGCCGCGCACTTGCGGGGTTGTTGGGCGTCGGGCAGGTGGCCGTCGGCTTGCCGTCGTTCGAGGTGGCGGCGTGCGCCCAGCAGGCTGATTGAGGACACTGTCTCGCTCTCCAGCAGACTCGTCGCTCTGTCTCTCTCGCACTCACGGGCGTCCCCTGCGGGTGCGAGAGAGACGGAGCGACGACTCTCGGAATCAGTGTCCAGGCAGCGCGCTCCATCCAGCGAGCCTGACTCGCCTGGCCTTGGATCGCCACCAGCAGACTCGCTCTGTCTCTCTCGCGCTCGCGGGGCGTTCCGTGCAGGCGCGAGAGAGACAGGGCGACGGCTCTCAGTCTGCTTGGCTGCATAGGGCAGTGAGAATAGAATGCCAAGGCGCGGCGCGTCGCTCTGCCCATTCATTGCCGTGCTCGGCCATGCTGCAGTTGTACAGTGCAGTGGCGTGCATGCCGTGCAGGGTGCACTGGGAAAACCGGCAGGCACCACGCCGTACTGCGGACACCCCACAGAAAATTAGCCTTGAAATCGTCATAAAGTGACTGTCAATACTTTTACAGTGCAGGCGTCACCCTTTCGGGGCGACTTGTCCTCAAAATACAACTGTTTCCAGTCGATCGTTGGGCTGCTCGGAGAGGTTTCCTTTCGGATCGCTTTTCCCGCGGGCTGCGAGTGGCGTGTGGGCTAATGGGCCGTTCCATTGCACGGCTAGGAAGGCGGTGGGATGGCCCATCCCGGATGGGTCGGTCGGTGGTTTACAGGTCGCCCAGGACCACTTACGGGGCAACTAGGCTGGGCCGTGCCGCCGCGCGCCTCGCCGCGCCCCGCCGCCGCGCCCCGGCGGTGTCAGTTTCTGCCCATTACAACGGCCTGGCTGGGCTGGCGGGGCTGCCTGGCCAGGGCCTGGCCTGAATGAGACCGGGTGCCCCACAATAGGGCCCGGAGCAGGCGGTGAAAGTGCCCCTTCTACTTAGCGGCGTTCGCGGTGGTAAAAATGCGCCGGTGAAGGGGGATTCGAACCCGGGGCTTGTCGGCCGCTGGGGGTCATGCGAGGCTGCGAACAGAGAGACTAAGTGTGCCTTCCTTGTGCTTGCAGGTCCCCGGACAACGCGGGCGTGCCCATCCTGGTGCTGGCCAACAAGCAGGACCTGCCCGGCGCGCGCGAGCCGCGTGAACTGGAGCGCCTGCTGGGGCTGCACGAGCTGGGCCTGAGCCAGAGCACCGTGTCTGCGGGCCAGACGCACATGTGGCACGTGCAGCCCGCCTGCGCCATCACCGGCGACGGCCTGCACGAGGGCATGGAGGTCCTCTACGAGATGATCGTCAAGCGGCGCAAGATGGCCAAGCAGAACAAGAAGAAGCCCACCGTGGCCAGGTAGCACAGCGCCTCGGCGGCGTCCGTGGCAGCGTCCGCGGCGTCGGCCGTCTCGGCGGGCGCGTCCGCCGCGGTGTGCTGCGTGTCCGCGCCGCGCGAGAGCTCCGGCAAGGACTCCGGCAAGGACCCGCTGCTGTAGCAATCTAGTCGACTGCGATCGAGTCGCCGGGGCCGCCTGGACTCGGGGACGTTGACGGGGACGTGCCGAGCACGCCGTCGACGCCCCAGCGGCGCTCCGCGGCGTCGAGAAGTGTGCACTCAGATCTGTTGAGAACCTACTCCGTGTTTTGCTTCGATCCCTGTTTCGATCGGGCAGCTTTCTGGCTTAAACCGACTGAGAGACCCTCCCAGAGGCCTGTTTCTAGTTTCTGTGATGTCACATTCGCGAATGTGTTTTTCTTCCTGTTTTTTGTCAGTGTCTAAAAATGAATGTTATATGGCCCAACTTTGTGAATGATATTTGTTAGATTTATCCTGATTGGTTACGGCCCTCTCAGCCGGGGACAACTGTACACCCTTTTTGCGACTTTCGCGCGGGTTTCGTCCTTCTGTTTTTTCTTTTCTTATTCCGGACAAAGGTTTGAGTTCAATCGGGAAAGCTGTACGCCCATTTAGGGATATATGTCAACCAAAGACTGATTAACAAGTAATGCAGAGAAATGAACGAAAGGGGTCTATCCGTTTAGGGGCCTAGAGTTGTCCCCGAATGACAGACTGGTCAACTTGTTTTGTAACTTTCGTGTTCTTAAAATTTGTAAATACAAATAAGATTTTAATGTATTAATGTATTTAGTGTACATTTTGAAAAGTTTATACGTGCACAGCCAAAGAGAATATTGTTATGCGTGAACCCGCTGTGTATAGCCCGTAATGAAAGAAGGTTCCCATTGTTATGAAAATGATTAGAAACATATCTTTCTAAGCGAGGAATAATTTCCTGCAGTTCTCCATTTTTTGCTCTCTCACATTTTTCATTTTTATACCTTACCGTTGTATGTTGTTTTTCTGGCACTTCACCCATTGTTGTGACACTGTAGGCGACGTGATTTTGATGCAACAACCATTCTTTTCCGGCCATGGCAGGGAGTAACTCACTCTCTTTTGAATGTTCGCTTGCACAGAAGGAAAACCGTCTTGTTATAAAGAATTCTCAGCACCCTGTTAAGTTTCCCGTCATAAATCGACGTCATGTGAATTGATTTTGAATGTCGACGTATAAAGTAAAAGTGTCGCCTAGAATTTAAATTTGACGGTTTGAATTATTTTTGTAAATGAATTGAATTATCATTGTGAGGGTTGATTTGTTAGTGCCATGCTCCTTAGTCTGAGGCTTAGATCCAAAGGGTCCAAAATATTCAGAAAAAGAAAACAAACATTTTTTTGGCATTAAATGATCCCCTAGTCAAATGGTGCTACTTGCATATCGGAATCGGGCCGATTTCTCTGGAGAGCGTGACACTGGTCTTCACAGACTCGAGTCGGTCTTCCCATTTAGCTAATGTGATCCTCTCTCATAACTGTCGTGTGCTTGTTTGTAATATTTTTTTGAGAATAAAAAAAAACCGCTGTGTTCTAGATTTTTTTAAAGTATAAATGTTCGTGATTGCACGAGAAAAGACATTGTAAATATTATAAATACAATAAATTGGGCCCGGCCCTCTTAAGCAAAGCCGACGCATTATCGTCATTTCCCCCTCCCCCCGACACAGAAACCACTCAGAAACGAAATGATTAGCCCTTTACCCGTTGCATCAGCTGGGCTGGCTTTGAATGGCGCGGCGCGCGAGGAGAGACTGCCCAAACCCACTGAACTGGCTCCAAGCAGGGCAAGGCCAGGGGCCGCGATAGACAAGGCACCTTGCACACACGCGTGAGTGAGTGAGCGTGTGTGTGTGTGCTGACCCAGTGTCGGCGAACAAATGGAAGACAAGGAGTACACGCCCCCATCAGCATGTGGGAAAAGACGGCCTGGTTTTCCCGCGGTGCGCGACACACACACACACAGGCTGAGCGCGCCAAAAATTCGAAACAGTCACGAGGATTCGAAGAGGAAAGCCATTCATTCATTCCCAAGAAAACAAACAACGCAAGCAAAAGAAATGGGAGTTGATTTGCAGAGTGGTTTGCGGCTGGCATCGGCCCAGTCCTAGCGCAGGCTGGCGGCGCACAGTGGGCCAGAAGACCGGTGCAGGCAGACAAAATTCTAGACGCGTTTTGAGCTCCAGAGTCGCTAAATGGGACTCGAACCGAACGTGTGACCCCACCAATGGATTCCTCGTTCGGAGAGCAATCCATTGGTGGGGTCACACGGTCGGTTCGAGTCCCATTTAGCGACTCTGGAGCTCAAAGCCGCTCCAAGACCGCTCCACCGGTCTTCTGGCCCACTGTGCGCAGCTAGCTCGGCCGCAGACACGATGCAGCAACGCGCTGCAACGGTACTCGCGCCAAAAGCCCGCAATGAAGGGATTTCGCTCGAGTCGGCCGGACTGTCTCTCTCGCACCGAGTGGACGGAGGGTCGCTTTCGTCGCTCTGTCTCTCTCGCACACCGTGCTAATAAAACGGCGGCACGAGCGAGGAAACCATCAACGCCATCACGGCCCGCGCGCCTTGGTTCGAATCGGCCTTCCCGCCAACAACTCGAACAACTCGGCTTGCAATCAGCCAATGGGACGGCGCGTCCATTCACTCCGCCGACGCGGCGGCGCCACGCTTTACCGTGTATCGAGCTAATGGCCTGTGATTGGTCCGTGTAATAATCTAGTTATTGGACGCTGGGCCGCTTTGTTTACCGTGCCTTCGGGCTGCGCCGGCCGCGCTGGTAGTCGAACCAAGGTCATGGGAAAGTAAGAACAGGTTGGAGGAGGGGGCACTTAGCGTACTGTACTGCGCGGGGTGCACACTGATCAGTGTCTTGTCCGTTACACTTCGAGGCACGGTTGGAGACAGACCCCAGCTAAAGCCATCTTTCAAACAAAATAAAAAACACGCTGTTTGAAATTTTTTGCGCAGACTAGTTTTCAGAATCACATTAAAATCGTGCAACATTGGGTAAAAATTTTGTGAGCAGACCTCATCATCTGAGCGAGTGAGGTTTCGAGAGTGCAACGTTGCGTCGTCGAACCTCTGACCGCGATCCTCCGACCACGATCGACACAGAAGGCGCACAGTGGGCCAGAAGACCGGTGGAGCGGCCGAAATTCTAGACGCGTTTTGAGCTCCAGAGTCGCTAATTAGGACTCGAACCGACCGTGTGACCCCACCAATGGATTGCTCTCCGGACGAGGAATCCATTGGTGGGGCCACACGGTCGGTTGGTGTCCCATTTAGCGACTTTTTTGGCCGATCCACCGGTCTTCTGGCCCACTGTGAGGCGCATCGCGCAGCCGAGGCGGTTGGAGCGCCTTTTTTCCACGGTGTTCTAGCGGGTTTTGAAACGGCCGAGTGTGTTCAGTGTTCGGGGTCAGCGCCACCATCATCATGCCGAGCGCGGCGCAGCCTGGAGCGGCTGCTCGCTTTTCCATTCATCTCCAGCAGGCTCCAGCGGGCTGATTCCAAACGGTCGCTCCGTCTCTCTCGCACCCGTGCGGCGCCCCTTCTGGGTGCGAGAGAGACGGAGCGACAGCCAGGCTCCAGGCCAGACCCGCGGGAAAACGGTTCCAGTGATGGTGCTCGAAGCGCGCGGGAATGAATGATGTGTGCTGGGTGCTCACTTGGAGTCCCTCGAGTGCTCGATGCGATGGAGGTCGAGGCTAATGGGCGGGTTGGATTAGCACTGGATTGGGCTGGATCAGGGGGATCAAGGCCCGGAGCGGGGCACGGCGTGGTGCTGCGAGTTCGACGCCGAGTTTGGGGCACCCACCGCGAGTACGCCGACGGGCCGGGCGGGCCGACGGTCTGTGTCTGGTTTCGACTTTTGACCGCCACCGACCCTCCGGCCGCGGCGCGCGGGGTTGGCTCAGGTGTTCCGAACTCGGGTGACGCGTCCGAAACGTCGCACTCGCCGCGAGGGGCGGGGATGGAGGCTGACGCTCCCCGTCGCTCTCGCACGGCCCCGGCGGTGGCAGCCAGAGGGGCGCTGCACAGTGGGCCAGAAGACCGGTGGAGGCGGCCAAAACTCAGGACGCGTTTTGAGCTCCAGAGTCGCTAAATGGGACTCGAACCGAACGTGTGACCCCACCAATGGATTCCTCGTTCGGAGAGCAATCCATTGGTGGGGTCACACGTCCGGTTCGAGTCCCATTCAGCGACTCTGGAGCTCAAAACGCGTCTAGAGTTTTGCCCGCCTCCACCGGTCTTCTGGCCCACTGTGCGCTGGCTGCGTCTGGCGCCCCCACACGTTCGGCGGCAAAGAGCCTCCCCCTCCTGGCGACCTGACGGCGTGTCACCCCACGGCACGAAGATGAAAGGCTTTGACCGCTTTCCGGAAGCTCGAAAGCTCGAAAGCCGAATGCTTCCGAAGCGCTTCCGAAGCCGAAGGCCCACTGAAAGCGTCGGGCGGTTGGGGGCGTGGCCGCGTGGCGTGGACCAGCGCGTTCATTCCGGGCAGCGCGCTGTCTCCCTCGCACCCACGGGGTGCGTTAAGCGGGCGTGCGAGAGAGACAGAGAGCCCGTTGGCGGCGTGGGAGCAGGCGGCACCTTTTGAGGACCGTTTGTGTACCGGCCGGGCCGACCTGGCCGACCGACCCCGCGATGCGACGCGCCGTGGGCGTGAGCGCGCAGCTGAGCCGACACAGTGTAGCAGCGGACTGACTCCGAGAGTCGTTTTCGTCGCTCTGTCTCTCTCGCGCCCACGAGGCCTCCGGCGTAGGTGCGAGCGAGACGGAGCGACGACTCTCGGAATGAGTCTGCAGCGCAGCAGCGAGGAAGACGCGGGATTCCTTTTCAATTACAACGGCTTTGCCGTGTGGGCGCCCCCCCCCCCCGCGAGGACGGCGAACACAGCGGTGGCGGATCATTCAAATATTCCGGTGCCAAAAACATTCGACGGCGGAATAACTCGGAAAATGATAAAAACGCGGTTCGGTGCCGCCGAGGCCGGGGCGGGGAGGGGGCCATATGAGAGCGAGAGAGAGGGGGGGGATGCTCTTCAGGAATATGTAATTGAATTTGCATAGGGATGCGGCGAGAGGTGCGAAAACGGGCAGAAAGGAGCCGGGAAACGACGCCAACCCTCGGGAGACCTGCCCCCCCCCCCCTCGGCCGCGTCCTTCGCGCCCCTTTCGCTCGCTCAAAGATTTCCATACCTTTTACGAGGGCCGGCAAGACGGCCCGTGTGTGTGTGTGTGTGTGTGTGTGTGTGTGTGTGTGTGTGTGTGTGTCACCGTCGGCGGTGCATGGCGTGCGCGTGTGTGTGGACCGCTTGGTAATCACCTCTTGATTAGCCGTTACGAAACCAAAAGCCCCGCCGCCAAAGCAGGTAGAAATATGTCTTTCTTCTTCTTCTTCTTCTTCTTCTTCTTCTTCTTCTTCTTCTTCTTCTTCTTCTTCTTCTTCTTCTTCTTCTTCTTCTTCTTCCTCCTCCTCCTCCTCCTTCGTCGCATGCATGGCGTGCCGCACAATTGATTCAACGGGGTCCGCATGCTCCGCGCGGTGCCGCGCACAGTGTGCCGCGCTGCTCCGCCCTCGACGCATCCTTGCCGTTGCCGCCATCCTTGCTCAGGTGCCCCGTCCATTGTGTGGCTGCGCGTTGCTGCTGCAGGAGAAGGCTGTGCTGGCGGTGCTGGCGGTGCGTGACTGCATGTCGCCGGCCGCGCCGCTCAAAAGGCGTCGCCGTGGACACGGGTATTTAAGGGTGGAGGCCAACCCGAGGCAAGCCGCCGCCATGCCAGGGTGTATGTCGTTTGTCCGACCTTATTTTTTCCGACCTGTCCAAATTTCACTTGCCCGTGAATCGGCTGAAAATTTTGTCCGGCCTCCGTTTTGTCCGCCCACTGACACCGCCACGCGGTCAGGCTGCAGCTAGAGAGCAACTCGGCGGCGCTCAATTGATCTAAACACCCGCGGCTCACTCTCTATGTCAATCAAGACTGGATGCAGGACAATCTAAAGACATTTTAACACAAAATGTATTCAGAGTAACAGAAGAAAAATGAACACTAAAGAAAATTTCAGCGAAAGAGGGCACCCCGGCGAACCGGCCCTCTTCCCCGCTGGCTTGGTGGACCAGTGGTTCCCCCATCTCATCACAGGAGCAACCTCAGAGTTAAACCGCAGTGGCCCCGTCATTGGTCACGTCATCTGTGATGTGGAGGAGTCCTCTCATAGTAGGCCAGGCTGCCACCTTTCGCAGTAGTCGGGTTTCGTTCCCGGCCCCCTTCCCACTCAGGGGCCATGCTACTGGTACTCAGGAGTCTGCGTCACCCTGCCCAGCAGCGGAACCACTGGGCTATGAGAGGCACACTGGACGCCGCCCGATTTTGTATACTTGAACCGCCTTCTTGCGATGCAAGCTTGGTCAAAATATTCTTTACGGTGGGAATCGAACCCCGGACCCCGCAGTCGGGACCCGACGCCTCTGCGCTCTCGGCCACCACGGCCCATGGGTGATGATGTGCGAAGGGGAACATTTGAGGCCGCTGGTCCGAACCGTATAGTCAGACAAAAAGAGCGGGAAGCTAGTATTCGATCGCTCGATCCGAGTATAGGAATCAGAGATCTCAACACCTTCGGC